AAGAGTGGTAGCTGTTTACTGCATCATCCCCTTGTTCCTCTTCAGGCCTTCCAACATCTGGAGAGCCACTCTTGTGTGTTAAACTGCCTCTGTTTGAAAAACTAACTCACATCCTGTTTTCCTGAATGGATTCTAACTGACCCATAGGTTTGTTGTTGTTGTTAGTCACTGTCAAGTCAAGTCTGACTCGTGGCAGCCTTACGTGTCACGGGGTAGAACCGCTCCGTGGAGTTCTTGGCTGTCATCTTAACAGAAGCAGATCACCAGGCTTTTTCTTCCGGGCTACTGCTGGGTAGGTTTGAACCACCAACCTTTAGGTAAGCAGTTAAGCGCAAACTCCTTTCACATAAATTAAAAATACTTAGGATGTAAGCCACCTGGTATCATTAGTAAAGTAATAACGTCACGGCCTTACGCTATACGGTAGTACTGAAGTTAGCCAATGAAACATTTTTCAAAACATTCATGACAGATATTTCACTTAAGAACCGTGATCCTCAATGCATAGAGAAAAGGAGAGAGAAAGAAAGTCGGCATAATGAGAATGGGGATGGAGGTAGGGCATCTCTGGGCATTGTGCTCTCTGTGTTCTAGCCTCACCCTACCTATCCAAACTGTCAGCTTATTTGCATCAAAGTGTTATCATCATCTAAGCTTTAGTCATTGCATTTACGTTGATCTCTGTCACATTTAGCCCCTTGCTTATACCCAAATATTGACAAATGTCATCTCTCTTATATAGTATCTAAGGTAATTTATTTAAATTTATAAAATGGCTTTCAAAATGTTTCTTTAATTACAGGATAATTAAATCTCTGTCCTAAAAAAATGATGAAATTTCAGTGTATTTGGCTAATTGTGATTTTAAAGGAAGATAATATTAATAATAACAACTAAATCTAATATTCATTGAGCCCTAGTTATGCTAGAAGGGGCCCTGGTGGCACAGTGGTTAAAGGGCTCGGCTGTTAATCAAAAGGTCAGTGGTTTGAACCCACCAGTGGCTCTTTGGGAGAAAGATGTGGCAGTCTGCTTCCGTAAGGATTTACAGCCTTGGAAACCCTAACAGGGCAGTTCTACTCTGTCCTATAGGGTCGCTATGAGTCAGAATCGACTCGACGGCAGTGGTTTTATTTTTTAATTATGCCAGGCACTGTGCTTAATGTCTTCCATGTGTTATAATCCATCGATTCTTACTACAAACTATAAAGCACCCTGTGAAGCAGGTACTACTATTATCCTCGTTTTCCAGGTGAGGAAACTGAGGCACAGAGATAGTAAGTAACTGATTTAAGTTCACACAGGTTACAAAGTAAATGGTTGCGACTTAATGGTCTGAGTGAGACTGCAAGAATCCTGGAAAGCATGGCCCCCAGATTCTCTATCAGCTCAGAACTAAAACAATTTCTGAGGCCAACTCTTCAGACAGGGATTAGACTGGACTGTGGGACATAAAGTGATACTCATGAGGAGTGTGCCTCTTAGCTCAAGTAGACACAAGAAACTAAATGGGCAGCTTCTGACCGGAGGTGAGATGGGAAGGCAAAGAGGGTTAGGAGCTCGTTGAAATGACATGGGAAATCAGGGGTGGAAAGGAGGAGTGCGCTGTCACAGTATAGGGGAGAGCAATTAGGGTCACATAGCAATGTATGTATAAATTTTTGTATGGGAGACTAACTTGAAATGTAAACTTCATTTAAACTACAACAATCAACAAAAATAAAATAAAATAAAAAAAACAAAGTAAATGGTTGTGACACTGTTAGGCATGGATTACATTAAAAGTGTTGGAAAGACTTGGAAACTCTGGCCCAAGGAGGTAAAGGGTGAGTGAAGCCCCAAATTCTAGTATTATGTATTGCTGGAATTAGAGATTAATTTAAATGAGATTACAAGCTGTAAATGAAATTTGGTTAACATTGCATCTTGGATTTTTACTTACTTATTATCCCCATAAAGCAAGCAACATAATGTCATGCGAGACATCTAGGTACAATCTTGGGCAAGTTATTCAATTTCTCTGTGCTCTCATCTATACAGCAAAGATAATAATAATGCCAATGCCATAGGTTTGCTGTGGGGGTTAAATGACAGAATCATATAAAGCACTCAATTAAAACAAAAAGCAGATACTGTAGGGTTGATTCTGACTCATGGCGACCCCGTGTGTGTCAGAGTAGAACTGTGCTCCATAGGGTTTTCATGTCTGTGATCTTTTAGAAATAGATTTCCAGGCTTACTTCCAAGGCACCTCTGGGTGGATGTGAACTGCCAACCTTTGGGTTAGTAGCCGAGCACTTACAGGCCCTCAGTTGTTGCTGCTGTTGTTGTTGTTGTTGGGTGCTGTTGAGGAGATTCTAACTCATAGCCACCCCATGTGACAGGAGGGTAGAACTGCTGCATACGGTATTCTAGGCTGTCTTCTTTATGCGAGCATTTTTCTCTCAGAGCCACTGGGTGGATTCAAACCACCAACTCTCCAGTTAGTGGATGAGTGCTTAACCATTGAGCCACCAGGGCTCCTTAAAAGCACTCAGTACTCCTATATAATTTATATAGCAGTGGCAATGATTGGAAGAGTAACAGCAGTTTTGTTGCTCACTAAAATATCCAAATTTTTAAGAAGGGGGATAATTTCTGAAGCGAAAACTTTTCTCCTCAATATTATATGTGAATTTCAGAGTAGTTCTACCTTACCAGGTGAAAATAATAAAACTACAAATTGGATTTCATATATATTCATGATTTATTCTGAGTAAGAACTATGTGGAGAGTAGCCTGTAAGACTAACCAGTACAGCCTAGGAGATGACTTGGATAAATATATAGATGCTTTTAAATAAAATGAACTGTAAGACTAATAAACCATTATCTCCAAAATATAGTTAAGTGAAAAAAGCAAGATGCAGAATAGTGTGAAGTATATGCTAACAACTGTGTTTTAAAAAAAGGGACTACATAAGCTATCCATTTGCTTAAATATGCACAAAATATCTCTTTATTGTGTTGCCAAAACTGCTTATATATTGATCTCCTCCTGGTAGAACTGACTGGCTATTGAGTAGGAATGGGGGAGGCTTGTCTCTGTACATCCTTTCATAACTTTTGAATGTTGAACCATGGGAATGCATTAAAAACCAAACTAAACAAGTTGCCATCGAGTCAGTTCTGACTCATAGCGACCCTATAGGACAGAGTAGAACTGCCCCATAGGGTTTCCAAGGAATGACTGGTGGATTTGAACTGCTGACATTTTGGTTAGCAGCCAAGCTTTTAACCAGGGCTATTGAAAAATAATATAAAATAAAGGAAGAAAACAATACAGTGAACATTAAAGAAGTAGAAGAAAACTAACATTACTGGGTATCTACTATGTGCCAGATAGGAAGCTAGATTTTTTAACTCAGTCCACAAAACAATCCTGAGTAATGAATGAGGAAACTGAGGCCCAGAGGAACTAAGTAATCGTTGAGGATGACTCAGAACTGACCTCTGCTCTTCCCCACTCTTCACAATCCCTCAGATGGCAGCAGGGGAATGAGCTTCCAGTCGGCTGCTGGCTTTAGGACCTCACTTCATGCTGTGTCATTTACTCACAAGCACCAGTGCTACCAGTCCTTTTAGGAAACTTGAAAGTTGTGCTATGGTAACCCGTAGGTTATAAAAAGGCACTTGACGCATTCCTGCCAGAGAAAGTTTAATTGCCCTTTAAAAATGGACTGTGCAGAACTGACTGATGATCCTGTGAGAAGGTACCCCACGCCTGGTTTTTCGATGTGCCTCACAGGTGTTTCAGTGTGAATAAATTTATGGACACTAAGTCGGGCAGTTATTATTCAAAGGACATGTTCAGAAGGATATGATACGACAAAAGTAGAGAAAAAGAATGACTTCTCATTGAGAGAAGGAAACTTCTAGCAGGGTAAGCCGAGCTGAACGGATGCAATAACAAGGCGGAATCAGTTTGATCTTATCTTTGAGAAGCAGAGAACAGTGACCTCAACTGAGAAGCCTGCTGGATTGTCTACCATTTTTATGAAATGCATGATTAAACAGCCAACAATTGCACTGAGACCAATCTACATTCTTTCCTGGTGATGCTGTGATGTGAGTTATGTTCCACACTATCAGTCACTTTGGTCTTGTTCTCCCTCACTCCCACATCCACGAGAAATAATTCACATTTTTGTTCTCATATTGTGATGCAACACTGTTGAATATATTGTAATGCAACCTGATGACCCGGGTGACTCTTGGCTCTCCACTCCCTTTTTGAGGGTCAAAATGTATATTAGGAATTGAGGGAACTTCTACGTTTGATTAGGAATCCCTGGGTGGGACCAACAGTTAAGCGCTCAACTACTAACCAAAAGGTAGGCAGTTCAAGTCCACCCAGAGGCGTCTCAGAAGAAAGGTCTGGAGATTTACTTCCCAAAGATCACAGCCATTAAAAGCCCTATGGAGCACAGTTCTACTCTGCAGCACATGGGGCCATCCTGAGTCAGAATTGACTCAATGGTAGCAAGATTGTTTTTTTTTTTTTTTTTTTTTGGGGTATGTTTGATTGTGTCTATCTTCGTCTAATTATCCTATAGTTTGAGTTAGACATTCAATTTAGAGAAAAAAAGTAATGGCTGTTAGTAAAATCTGCGGTCACAATCCCTTTACCATTTTTATCATATTTAACATTGTAGGGAGTCCAGAGCTGATTACTTGAAAATCTTGTCCTACACATATCTGTTGCCATCGAGTTGATTCCAACTCATAGTGACCCTGTAGGACAGAGTAGAACTGTCCCACAGGGTTTCCAAGGAGCGGCTGGCAGATATGAACTACCAATCTTTTTGGTCAGGCGCCAAATGCTTAACCACTGCACCACCAAGTCTCCATATATAGCTACTGCATCCAAAATGTCAAGATAGCAAATACTCTTTAAAAAATGAGTGTTACATTTCTTAGTTTGGGGGTCTATATCAAGGAGAGAAATGGAAGCTTTGTTACCTGTATCCCAATAGAGAGGCATCTATTTTTCTTAAAGTGATCTTTCTTCCTGTCCTCTGTAGTGACGGTGGCTATGGTGGTCGTGGTGGTGACGGTGGCAGTGTTACTGCCCATGTGCTGACTCGCAGGGCCGTGGATCTGCGCATTGGCAGCTTCGATGGCGGCCGTGAGAGCCTTCATACTGTCCAGACTCTCCGTGGAGTTGCTGAGTCCAGACTGGCTGATAATGTCTCCTCGCTGGCCCTGTCCGTCCATGTAGGCATCCTGGGCAGACTCTGTGCTACTCTGGGCTGTGATAGAAATGAAAGGTTTCGTGGTAGTTCTGGGTGGGACTGGAGGTGGTGTCTTCTTATATGTTGTAATGCAAGATGACACTGGAAGACAGTGAAAACAAAGACACTGTGATTTTGGTGTGGGTCATCATTTCTGATATTGTCACTGACATTCATTGGACCATGGGGCCCATGGAACACTAAGACATTTAACATTAAAACAAAGCCATTGACAAACGAAATGGGATCCCTGCAAGGGGGAGGATTTAGGCTGCCTATGAGGTGATCAAAAGGAGACCTTGTGGTACAGTGGTTAAAGCACTCAGCTGCTAACCAAAAGGTTGGCAGTTCGAACCCACCAGCCACAGTCTGCTTCTGTAAAGATTTACAGCATTAGAAGCACTATGGAGCAGTTCTACTCTGTCCTATAGGGTTGCTATGAGTTGGAATCAACTCGATGGCAATAGGTAAGGTGACCCACCACAAAATTGAAGGAAAACAGACTGGAAAACATCAGCCTTTGAAATGGAGATTTCTGAAATGGAAATCAATACACATCAACATAAAAAGACATAATCAGCCATCTGTAGAAATCTTCCCAGACAACAAGGTGCCCTGAGAGCTGATATACAAACATGGATACAGCTAGGGTAGTCCCTCCCTTCTCATAACCTATAGCTAAGGTTAAACAAAGCATCCCATTAAAGAAGATTCTGGTGGTTGATAATAAACAATGAAAAAAAGAAGACGGGAAAGCAAAGAGGTTGTGAACATGTGTGTTCTGAACCTAATGACAAGTATGAGGTGCCTGGGGAGCTTGCGCCTGGAGTGGAGGACACAACATAGTTTGCTACCATAGCTCATGGGACTCGCTTGTATTAACACCCAGGTCCTTTCTCCTTCTCTCTCTTTCTGTCTGTCTTTCCTCTTTATTTCTCTTTCTTTCTTTTTCCTAGGTTGGTGCTCACTACATAAACTTTTTTTTTGTCATAAAAATATAGATAACACAGCATTTGCCAATTCAACATTTTCACGTGTACAATTTAGTGAGATCAATTACACATTAATGTTGCACTACCATCACTAAAATTTTACATAAACTTTTGTTCTGAATTTTTTGTTTGTTTCTGAGCAGAACTACCTACTGAGAGGAAATGTAAAAATAAATTTACATTCTGGTTTGTAAATCAGTCTTTGAGTGTTTGGTCTGCAGGAGCCTACTGCCCCTGAAGTGCTTTCATACCAGGCAACTAGTGATCCGGTCAGGGGCCTGCAGCTACCAGCCGAGGCGTCCTTTTAGGGTACGTGCAATAGAGTCATGGGCCTCACCAAGCCCCTCTCTCCAACCATCTGATTATAACACTGACGAGCTTGAAGAAACTTTACACGTTCGTTTTCCATTTGTGGTACACGATAAAGATCAAAAAGGAATTAAGTTTCCAGGTGGGAATTCCTACCAGTAAACAGTGATTGCTTAACTGGTTTTCTAATGGCTCTTGTTTAGTCTTCTTAAAAAACAATTCGAGCCATTGTGTTTCCATCACTTCCTCCCTCCCCACCCCACACCCATACCTACATCCTTCATGACTTTGCCACTCATAGCTAGCATCACAGTTGTTATTTCAAATCGGCTAGACCTGGCCACTTCATTCCAATTTTTTACCTTTGATTCTAGCTGCCACTCAGGCCACTTCACTGAATTAAATAGGCATTTCAATATTTGAGATGCCTTCTCCTGATCAAAACCTTAGTAAATATAGTTATATCACTGGCTAAAAGGTAAATCAAAATAATAAACTCATATATAGGGGCAGATATGGTATCAAATAATTCATGACAAGCAAAGATACAAGTAAAATTTAGATTTGATGTCTAATTCTAGTCAATATGGCTATATGAAAGCGATTAATCTTTCTTTTAAAGATTAAGACGTATAGTGTTTTTTAAAATCTGTAAAAACAAATATAAAATCCCAGTTATTCCAACAAAAACTGGGGAAAAGATTATACACAAAACAACCACAAAAAAAAAAAAAGAAAAAAAAATTTAAGATGTGTCTTGAAGTCACTCAAAGGAAACATGCCATAATGAGCAATTAACAAAAGGATCCTATTATACTGTTCTGCCATCCCAGCACCCCGTAATTCAGACTGATTTCCTTAGCCAAAAAAGAGAGAAGGACAGTAATGTTGGGCTACTTCCCAGGGACTGCCTGAGAATTACAATATTATATGAACTCTAGAACCCAAGCCCAAGCCCATTGCCATCAAGTCGATTCCTACTCATAGCAACGCTATAGGACAGAGTAGAACTACCCCATAGGATTTCAAGGAGAGGCTGGTGGATTCGAAGTGCCAAACTTTTGGTTAGCAGACATGCTATTAACCACTTTGCCACCGGGGCTCCATATGCTAGAAGGGGGGGCATAATATAAATAATATAAATGTAGTCACCTCTCAATTACCTGGGATGGATGATTGGCAGTGGCTCGTCCCAGGAGGACCATCCTTCTAAGCTCATTGGATGAAATATACATCTTAACGTTTGAACAGAGTTTAGCAACAAGCAGTCCAATTGCTCATTTTTTAGCTGAGGGGCCAAAGAGGCCATGTGGTTAGTCTGTGTTCGCAGTGCCTGTGAGGGCCAGAGTCAGGAGCAGATCTACCTTCCTGCAGTCCAGTGTCATGTTCTTTTCACGAGGCCATGGTTAAGCCTCTGGTTGACTAAGTAATGTAAACATGCACTGTGTTGATGTTTTACCTTACTCAACTTAGTTTCACGCACCTTAGCCACTGTAGAGGTACCTTCTGGTTCCCAGAAAGGTTTGAATGATGATAGCCTTGCTTGGGATAAAGCTCAGTTATTTGTCTAAAGACCCAGAGTGGGTGGGAGGGAGGAGTGAGCAACAATTAGGATAAGGACACTAGATTGTTTTATTACTTCTCCTAAGACAAGTTTTTACAATGTGAACTCACTGTTCACTGTTTTATTCAAAATGATTCTCAGAACATTCAGCCTACTCATATTCCAAAGAAATTAACAACACAGCCCAACATCAAATGTATGATCTTCTCAATTATTTACTACTTGTTAGCTACTCCTGGCTTCCTCTTTCAGTGTGGCTAATAAAAACTAGACAATGCAGCCAAATAGTATAATTTCATTTGCTATGATTACAGTAAAAACCCAGCCCTCATGTGTTAAGTATGAAAGAGGGGTGGGGACTTGAGCCCCTTGACTGTGAGGTCCATACACTCCCAGGGGCCAACTGCAATTTGGAGCCACCTGGTGGCTATTGTCAGCTACTCTTAGATATTGACAGGGACAACTCTGGGTACTGTGACCAGAGGAGCCTCCAGCACAAAGGGCAGCAATGCTAGGAATCTACTAGTGTTAGATTGCACAGGGAGAATACTGGGGATATGGCTTCCCCAAGAGACTGGCCCAGCCTCAAGACCTAAAGAGATAAGAATTTGAGCTTGTCCCACTTTGAATAAGGGACCCCAATCCTAGGTATATCCAGAAGTGGTGAAGGCAGGAATGCAAACAGAAACCTGTATACCAATATGTTCACTGTAGCAATTTCACAATAGCCAAAAGGTGGAAACAACTGAAATGTCCATCAACAGATGAATGGATAAGTAAAATGTGGTATATCCATACAGTGGAATATTACTCAGCTATAAAGAGAAATGAAGTCCTGATGTATGCCCCAACATGAATGAACCTTGAAAACATGCTAAGCAAAATAATTCAGTTGCAAAAGGATAAATACTATATAAGTCACTTATACGAAGTAAAGCAAACATATAGAAACCAAAGATTATTAATGGTTACCAGTGGTGGAAGGAAGAGGGAAAGGGAGAGTTTTCTTTGGGGGGGTGTTGAGTTTATGTTAATGGTGGGGGAATATTTTAGAAAAGGATAGTGATAACGGTGGCACAACATGAAAAGTGTAATCGATGTCATTGACTTGTAAACGTGGAAGTTGTTGTATTGGCGAATGTTTTGGTGTGTATATTTTTACCACAGTTAAAAAAAAAAATAGAAATGCAAGTACTCCTTTGATTCAAGTGGAACCTGAAAAAGAAAAGATGTTGTATTTTAATCATGATTGTTGTTTTCTTTTGTCCTGATATGCTTATTTATTCATTTCAAATACTCTAAATACACCGACTCTTCACTTATCGATCGTCTCATTATCTGACATTTTGCATTAACAACGACAGTAAAAAACGTACTATCTGACTACTTTGTGCATTAATGACATACGTCTGGCAGTAATGAACAATAACAAATGCTGAGATGAGAGGTGAGAGTAACTCTGGCTTTGATGGTTAAGGTTATGTGTCAACTTGGCTGGGCCATGATTCTCGGTGGTTTAGCCGTTACATAATGATATAGTTTGACAGTTATGTAATGATGTAGTCACTTTCCTTTTTTTGATATGATGTGGTCATCCTCCATTTTTGCATAACACTGATTTCACATAACTACCTGGTCTTTGGAACTTAACCATGTCACTAAGTGAGAAGAAGATATAAAATGATTTTTTCCCCCTTCTCTGAATCCTGATATACTACCCCAGCTAAAAGTTGGCTGATAAGACTCTCATCCATTTATAAGAAGAGTCAGCAAGAACTAAGGGCCAGATTTCAATGATATCATTTTCATTCAGATAATACCAGAGACAGCAGAAAGATCAGAAGTTAGTTTTTACATCTGAGTTAAATTATAGAGAAAACAAAGGAGAACAAATCCCTAACATTTTAGTTTCTAGCTGACTATTAAATGTTGTCTAGATTTGCATACAAAAATAATGCTAGTTATAAGCCTCAGGAAGATCTGTGTTAGGATTTTTTTTCCTGTAGTGGTGAAGGTTTTCTGGAAAATACCTAGACTCTCCTTTCCCCCGGCTATCCTTTGTGATTGACAGCACGCCTATGTCAAGTGGCCACAAAATAGATGTGGGATTAAACTCACTTCTTCTATCTTCTTTTAAGTTATTACTGCCTAAGCTAAGCAGCCCTGGTGGCACGATGGTTAAATGCTTGGCTGCTGACCAAAAGGTTCGCGGTTTGAACCCACCCAGCTGCTCTGTG